CCCCTATGGAACTATTTGAGGGTTGACTTGATATAAAAAGACACAAATACCCCTGGAGTCTTGCAATTAATAAATTCTTATATTTTATAAATATGTTAATTATTTTATTTAAAAAATAATCAATTTAGTTGTTTACTATTTTTTTTAATTTCTAAACAAGTTAATTAAAAGGAATAAATATACATATAATATGTATATATATAAATACATTTTGAGGGACAATTTTGTCATTTCAAGTCTAAAAAATCAGCTAGGGGGGATTTTGCCTTTGACTAAATTTCACAGGGGGGTTTTTGCTAGTTTATTTATCACAGGGGGGTTTTTGCTATTTCGAAATAACACAGGGGTAGTATTTGCAGTTTACTCGTTTTTAATCCGTTGCAGCATGTAACCACAACTTGATGAAAGATTGAGGGGTTATCGGGTAGCACTTCTCAAATTGGTGGTGCAAAATTTAATTTCGAAGAAATGCAGGACTTTTGGTTGTTATTTTGTATTAACTTTTCAAAGTTAAATAAATAATAAAAAAAAAAAAAAAAAAAAAAAGATAAAAAAAAAAATCAGTTGCCGACATAATTTAGTTGACGATTGGATCATTCGTGAAAGAGCGTGTGTGGATTAATAGAAGCAGATTCAACCAATCAAATTGACCACGACGTGCCGGCACGTGACACCTATGCCCAAGTATTAATCTATATTATCACCAATTCACAATCGAATAATTTTATAAGTTAACATTTAGGGTAAATTCCATTTTCTCCCCTTGTATTTTGGCTCGATATCACTTTACCCCCTTCTACTCTCGATTGCATCGATTTTCCTCCATGTACTTGAAAAGTTGTCTCAATGAGGCCATCGCCGTTAGTTTTCAGACATTTGATCTTAACACCGTTTAATCTAAAGATTGAAAATTACAAAAAAGATACACCCCTCAAAGTTTAAATAATTATTAAAAAAAAAAAAAAATTAGTTGTGGCTGCCGTCGTGTACTATGTTTTTTTGAATTTTTTTATTATTTTTTCTATTTTTTTAATAATTATTTAAACTAGGAGATGTGGCGTTTTTGTAATTTCAGAGCTTAGATCAAACGGTGTTAAGGTCAGATGTCTAACAACTAACAACGAGGGCCACATTGAGACAATTTTTCAAGTGCAGAGGGGCAAATCGTTGCAGTCGATAGTAGAAAGGGGTAAAGTGATACTAAGCCAAAGTACAAGGGGAAAAAGTGGAATTTATCCTAAAATTTATTGTTAAAGGTTTGTGGCCGAAATGAGTTGATGGGCCACGAAACAAAGTATAAATAAAAGTATGTTAAACAAGGCCCGCTTAGTGTGTGTATCTGGAATGATCTAAAGGGTTTCGATTTCAGGCTTTTATTTTGGGCTTTATTCGGCCCAACTTCAGCTAAAGATTATTATTATTATTATTATTTAGGTGAATATTTTTTTAACGTGTTTATGGGAAAGTGACAAAACAAGTCTACCAACTTTGAGTGTTGAAAATTAAATGCAGTTCCTAAAGCATGGGACTGCACATTCATACATATACAATATATATATATATATATATATATATATATATATATATATATATATATATATTTTGTTTTTAAATGTCGAATCATATTAATGTTGTTTGTACGCAAGAT